CCAGTTGTGATTCCACCCAATGGAAAGAGGGATCTATAGACCATCTGCAATTGCGGGGTGCCATCTCTCTTGATCCTACATCGACAAAAAACGGTGTGCTTAACAGTATTTTATCACTTTTTATTTTTTTTACAGTGTTTGCCCCTTTCTCATCTCATTGGGTCTTGATCATGTAACGAGATTAGACGAAGTGGACCTACACATGGTGCTCAGCATTTGCTTAAGGAATCGCTCTTCATTCATGCCTGCCAGACAATTTGAACTTCGTGGCTCGGTTGATCCATGATATTTTGAATTTTATTTGAGGCTAGTGTAGCTTATGTGTCCGATTTTTCTCCTTTTCTTTTGTTTTTGTATTTTTCGTTTTCTCTCAGTTTGACTGAGGCAAACTCGTAAAAGTGTGAGTATCGCGGAACACTGAAGGTGAACGGAAACCGCAAAAGGAAAAAGGGATCCTGAAATGTATTCAACACCTTCACTCAATTTTCTTCCTGTGTTACATGACACTGAATAGATTTACCTGATGTTGTTTTTCAGATATTTGTTTGTTGTAGCAGTCAACAACTTTTTAGCTGTATTATGATACTTTGTTGAGCTGTTTTGGATGTAAAGCCAGAGCTTGGGGACATCAACAAATCCGTGAGCGCTGACGAGTTTAGATACGGACACATCAACGTAAAGACAGGGGACACATCCTCGTTTTATAATGGTTAAGAATTAAAAAATAAAATCACACATTAAGACATGAAAGGCAACAGAAGCACTTGCCTGACCTTAAGAGTCAAAAATCGGAAATAACCAGGGAAAAAAAAAGCCAGAAAACCCTTATTAGTATTTTGATGTAAAAGCTTTATACTTACGCGGTTATTTCCTAAATTTTCGGTACGGTTTGAGTCCTTATTTTTCTAACAGAAAGGCCTAAAAGATAAAAGAACACTCATGAGGTGGTGGTGAGAAACGGAGTATTTTACCAATAATTTTACTTGCAGTAGTATAACCATGTAAATGCTGATTCTGTTGTTAACTTGGTGCCTTTTTATATTTTCCGTTGCAGGGTAAATTGATAATTTTAATAAATTAACTTTCCTAATCGAAACGACAAGTTCAAAAAACAACAACATTTTCTCTCAGAAGGGAGACCGGAAAGATTCACTAACACAAAAAGATAATAAAGCATACCTTGACCCGTCTTTATTAAGGTGTATACAGTTTCGTTTTCCTGGGAAAAATTCTTGGATTAACTATGAATCTTTCTTACAGTTTTGGATTGTTTACAATCGTAAAATATTCCGAGAATTTGTCGGTTGTCTCTTGTTATTTAAGGAACATAATCTCGAGTTCTTCTGTTTTCTTTTATAGCTTGCAACCCAATGTTTGTGTCTTTGGAATGATAAAGATAAAAGGGGATAATTAAAAGTAATTCTCATAGTAATAAATATTACTGCCATTAGCATAGGCGTATTGATTTGATGTAGGAATGTGAAATGAAAATACCAAGATCTCCGACTCACAGCTCCTGCGTTGGAGACCAGTATCTCTACTGCAGAATCCTGCCAATCCTACTTTTATGTATGAAAACATACTATTTCTATTAGTACGCGAAATTTTATCGTTATAAAATACATATTAACTTTGAAATGCGTCATTCCGTAATCGAATTTCTTGCATTTATTATTTGTAAGATTTATGGAGTGCGGTTTTAAACATCTAGTTCACCGGGTTTTCATCATAGTCACTTACCGCTATCTTTAACCTCACCCGATGATCTAAAAACCCAGAATGCAATGCTGTTCTTGTTTAAGTTTGATTCTCTTCCCTTCCGGATCGCAACATGCATATTCCAGAGATTTCACTATACTTCTGAAAAGTATTCGAGCAAACCCGTAGGCACAGCTGAAATAGTAGGGCACTTGTTAAGTGCTCCCCAGACTTTCACCTTTAGACACGTGCGATATTCTTTGTAACATAGAAACCAATTCCTATTCTCGAAAACAGAGCCTTTGCAAACGACAGATGAACGTTATAAGAAAAGTAAAGAAAGACGAATACTGTCAGTAAAACAACTGATCAAGTCAGACACTTTTCAATACTTGCCTATCAGCCTCGCGGCGACGATCTTTTTCTCCAATAGCAACCTAAGGGAAAGTGAGACAACCGTTTGATGCCTGTCTGTAAAATACTTGAATGCATTCATTTCAATCTCGGCGGCACAGAAACCTTGATACCTTTACTTAAACGAACCCATGGGGCTCATTGCCGCTCTGAACTTTCCAAAATCTGTCCAGCTGTTTTAGTATAACCTATTCGTGCCAAAATTCAGGATGCAAATTCAAAACTTTTTAACCATTTGCTCCAAATTAAGGCCCAAGAACTCGACCATCTTATCGGTCCTCAAATTACTAGCGAGTCGTCGCCTGAAAACCTCAAAACTGTAGTTACCATTCCAGAAAATTTACCACTTTCCGATTCAGAAAAACCAGTTCTCAGTAAGGGCTTAAATTTTGTTCCTATTTCCAAGAAAATCGACCAATTTTCAGTTAAGCGAGACGTTGAAAAATTCCTTCGCTGCGTTCAGTTGAAAGCCTTTTTTCACGACATAGAGGATGATTCTAACATCTCGAACAAAGATACTTTCGAAACAGTTCAGATTCGAAAGTCTAAATGGACACCCCCAGGGGACCAGTTCGCATCTTTAGATTTTTTCATCAAAAAATGTCACCACGATATCAACAAACTGAAATTCAATCGTAATACCAAATTTTCCAACCTTTCCTCGGAAGAGTGATCGGCGCTGAAAAATTAAAAAAAAAACGCAAAGAAATAGTTTTTTGGCAGGACGACCTCTACCAAAGAGAAGCTTTGCGGCAACTCTTCGACACCTCCTTTTATGCAAAAGTTGACTAAGATCTCATTTTCATCAACCAAGACACTGTCAAAACGATCTTAGAGCTAAACAAGAATTGCCAGCCACTGCAAAAAAATCTCACCATCACCACTCCTAGAACTTCGTGTATTCACTTTTAATCTAAAATCCGGAAATCTTACAACCCTGGTCGACCCATCGTTTCTGCCTGCAGTTGTCCCACCGAACTTATTTCCCGCTATTTAGACAAAATTATAGCGCCTGTCGTCCAAACTTCATCATCTTACAATAAGGAAATTTCCGACACTTCTTTGGCTTTTCTAGTCCGGGAAACAGTTTATGCAGTAGTGTTTACTTCAAGCCTATAGATTCACATAGTTACTTGTTGTATTCATCTTCGCA